AAAGGATGTGAACAGATATTTCTCAAAAGAAGACGTACATGTGGCTGACAAGCATATGAAAACATGCTGAATATCACTAGTGGTTCACACCTGTAATTCCAGGACTTTGGAAGTCCAAGGTAGGAGGATCGCTTGAGCCCAGGGGTTCCAGACCAGCCTGAGCAATATAGTGAGACCCTGTCTCTACAACAAATCACAACAATAATTAGCTGGACATGCTAGGACAAGCCTGTAGACCCAGCTTCCTGGGAGGCTGAGGCAGGAGGGTCACTCAAATCAGGAATTTGAGGCTGCAGTGAGCTATGATTGTAGCACTGCACTCTACACCAGACGTTCCCAAACTTTTTACACAGGGGCCACTTCACTGTCCCTCAGACCGCTGGAGGCCCGCCACATACTGTGCTCCTCTCACTGACCACCAGTGGAAGACATGCCCCTTCCTGAACTGCTACAGGGGGCTGGATAAATGGCCTCATGAGGCCGCATGCGGCCCGCGGGCTGTAGTTTGGGGACGCCTGCTCTGCACTAACAGAGAGAGACTCTATCTCTTTTTTTAAAAATCTGGTATTTAAATAAGAAAGGCCCTAATTTTCCCTGATTGACTTTTTTTTTTTTTTTTTTTTTTTTTTTTTTTTTTTTTTGCATTTCTTTTTTTTTAGGTTCAGGGTGAACATGTTCAGGTTTGTTATATGCATAAATTGCATGACACAATTAGAAATGATTTCATCACCGAGGTAATAAGCATAGTACCCAATAGCTCGTTTCTCAATCTCCACCTTCCTCCACCGTTCAGCTTCTAGTAGGCCCTGATGTCTGCTGTTCCCTGCATTGTGTCCATACGCACTCAGGATTGAGCTCCAACTTACAAGTGAGAACGTGTGGTATTTCATTTTCTGTTCCTGCATTAATTCACCTAGGATGATGGCCTCCAGCTGTATCCATGTTGCTACGAAGGACATGATTTCTTTCTTTTTCATGGCTGTGTAGTGTTCCATGGTGTATATGTACGAGGTTTTCTTTATCCACTCTTCTGCTGATGGGCATCGAGGTTGATTCCATGTCTTTGTTATTGTGCATAGTGCTGCAGTGAACGTATGAGTGCATGTGTCTTTACTAGAACAATTTCTATTTCTTAGGGTAGATATCCAGTACTGGGATTGCTGGGGCAAATGGTGGTTCAATTTTAAGTTCTTTGAGAAATCTCCAAATTGCTTTCCTTAGTGGCTGAACTACATTACATTTCTACTCTGAGCCCCAAATACCTAAGACAGGTCTCGTCAATTTGGAAAGTTAGAAGATGCACCCGCGACACAGCCCGGGAAGTACTGATGACATGTGTCCAAGGTGCTCAGGGGTACAGTATACATTTTAGGGAAACAAGAGACATCAATCTACATGTGTAAGATGTACACTGTTTCATTCTGCTAAGGCAGAACATCTCAACGTGGGAGCTTCCACTAGGCTGGAAGTAGGTAAGTGACAAAATTTTGCATTCTTTTGAGTCCTTGATCAGCCTTCCACTGAATATACAATTTAGTCTAGGTCAGTGAATCTTCAGTTTTACATAAATAACAGAAAAGAGGAAGGAATTAGATACGGATTTGTCTCATGTGAGCCTCAGAGGGATGCTGTTGAATAGAATGGGAGGCAGGTTTGCCCTAAGCAGTTCCCAGCCTGAGTTTTCCCTCTAGCTTCATGATTTTGGGGTTCCAAGATTAATTTTCCTTTCACATCACTAGCAGTATGTAAGTTGTTCTGTTTTCTCCACAGCCTCACCAACATCTACTGTTTCTTTGACTTTTTAAGGATGGCCGTTCTGACTGCTGTGAGATGTATCTCCCTGTGGTTCTGATTTGCATTTCTCTAATGATTAGTGATGTAGAACACTTCTCCTTATGCTTGTTGGCAACACCTTCTCTTGGGAAGTGTCTTCATGTCCTTGGCCCATTTTTAATAAGATTGTTTGGTTTTTTCTTGCTGGTTTAAGGTTCTTATAGATTCTCGATATTAAATCTTTGTCTCATGCTGTTATGGTTTGGCTCTGTGTCATTGACCAATCTCATCTCACACAGTCATCCCCAAATGTCGAGGGATTGGATCATGGGGTAGTTTCCCCCATGCTGTTCTCATGACAGTGAGTGACTGCTCATGGGGTCTGATGGTTCTATAAATGCGTGGCAGTTTCTCCTTCCTGTTCTCTCTCTCTCTCTCTCTCTCTCTCTCTGTCTATCACCTGTTGCCATGTATCACATGCCTGCTTCCATTTCCACCGAGATTGCAAGTTTCCTGAGCCCTGACCCGAACTACTAGAAACTGTGAGTCAATTAAACCTCTTCTTTACGAATTACCCACTCTTGGGCAGTTCTTTAGAGCACTGTGAAAACAGACTAATAGAGTAAACTGGTACCAGGAATGGGGAACGGCTAGAAAGATACCTCAAAATCTAGAAGCAACTTTGGAACTCGGTAATGGGCAGAGGTTGTAAGAGTTTGGAGGACTTGGAAGAAGATAGGAAGATGTGGGAAAGTTTGGAACTTCCTCGAAACTTTTGAGTGGTTTTGACCAAAATGCTGATAGCGACATGAACAGCTAAGTCCTTCATTAAGCCGGCGACCCAGAGCGACCAACACTCAAAATTCTCTCAGCCCAACGAAAAAGTTAGGTGGTCTTTTATACACTAGTTTTAACAGGAAGGGGGGACCTAGCTGAAACAAAGTTTTCACACAGGCCGAGTAAGCAAAAAGTCAAAAGAGAAACTGATACATAAGAAATAAAACAGTGCCAGGTGTGAGGACTGCGGCTGTCATGGAAGACATACAACTTACAGATAAGGGGGCTCTGGGTGCTCACTGAAGCTGCACTTCCAGGCTCTGCTGATACCACTTTACTCGGCCACTTATCAGCAAAGGCATTTCTATGTGTCAGAGTCAGCCTGACCTTGCTTTATACTGTAGTTGCACACTTGATGGGGAGAAGGTTACTAAAATGTAGAAGCCAAGATGGCGTGTGACCGGCTCAAAAAGGCTAACATAAAGCTTGAACAGCCCTTAGTCAGGAAAAGGAGAGTTCGTTTTAGCTGGCAAAAAGAAGGGTGTCACACATGCTCTGTGGTTAAGGTCAATGGTCAGGTCAAGACAGCAGGTGCTGAGGCATGCAGATCTGGAGGACGTAAACGCTAATGCTCACGGAAGACCATTTCCACCGCGTTAAAGGTGGTTTCTCTTGGTCAGCTGTTGGCTTGTGTTTTTGGTATTGCTGTTGTTTTAAACAGTGTTTACCTGACTTCGACATGAACTCGATTGGTCACTTTCTTTCTTAAAATGTGTATCGTTCTAAAAGTTCACACGGCATCAGATATTGGCTCAGACTTTAATGTTTCTGCAGCAGAATGCACATTTGCCTTCCTTTCCTGCATACTTCTCCCACTGCCCTGAGCAGTGTCCCTGTGGGTCCATCTGTGTAGTGGGTGGGGCAGGTGACACAGGCCCCGATATGGGGTGGAGCTGTGCCAAGTACAGCGCAGTCTCGTGTGTGCACTGGGGTGGGTGGGCCCCGGAAAGAGGAGGTCATTCCCCCTGGGGAACAGCCATGCCCCAGGGGAGAAGTCGGCTGAGCAGCAGGGGGAAGATGCACCAAGAGTGGGAGAGGTCTGCTGCTGCATCAGCGAATCCCCTCAGTCCCGAAAGGCACGCAAGGGGAGGGCGTGGGGTTCACTGACCTCACACTTATCCGTCCAGTAGCCTTCACCCACAAAAGACAACATATACTGAAACAGGCACAGGAATGGATTGCTCCCATCTTTTTGTTGGCTGAATGGAGGAGATTTCTAAGCAGGTTCACAGAAAGGATATCACGCTGTGTTGGAGAAAAGGGTGGGAATCCTAAACACTGTGTGTCGAAGCAGGGCAGCTAGAACACAGAGATGTTGAGAAAAATGCCACGTCTCAGTACTGCTCCAGAATATCAGCATTTCTGCGGATGGTATGGGAAGCGTGATTTCCTCTGTTTGTGGGCTTTGTCTTTGAAATTCTCTGTGATATATCTGCATTGCATTTTAAAAGTCAATATTATTCTGAATTTGATTTTAAAATGAAATTTTATCTCATTCAGTTATTTATACATTGATCTTTCATTTTCCTTGACAATAACTTAGCGACTCACCTAGCCCTGTTTTTCACCTGACCAGCCTGTGCTGCTAAAGCCTGCTTTCTCTTCCTCATCATGACCTACTCAGCTTCCCTTCCTTCTTCCATTCATGGAAATGTGGGGCAGGAAGGGAGAGGGCCCCTGCCATTCCCAGAGCTCCCACTAAATGCCAGAGAGCTTTCCCCACACGTCTACCTATTTTTCTAGTTGAATTTCATTGCATGCAGCAGTCAACCCCAGGGACTCAGATTCCCGCATACGGGACGCTCGACCCCAGGTAGGGAGATTTGCTTGGTGGGGGATTGGAACCCAAGTTCTCACTGCAAAGCGCACAGGCATTCCCATGAGAACAGACGGAACAGGGAGTAGCCCTGGATGACCATAAACGCACTTTGGGTTTAGACAAGGACAGATGACCTGGGAATGAGGCGGCCCACTCGTCAGGAGCTCACTTCAGGAGAAATGTCATGAATGTGCCCTTTAGGGAGCTGGTGGCAACTTCCATTAATTCTGGGACTAGCAACCTCAGTTCATGACCCGGCTGATCACTCAGGTCTCCTCTCAAGGCCAGAGGCTCTGGCCAAGTCTGGGCTCCCAGCAGAGTCTAAGAAAATGTGGAAGGCAGCAATGTGATTTTGAAGATTTATTTCAGAGTGAGCATCAGCGACCTACAGAAACCTGGGACAGAAGCCAGCACTTCCCGTTTCCCCAACATGTGAGGGAGGACCCAGTGCCTCCCGCGGACTTCAAGAAATTTGGACTCGAGCTTTTCCATCCCTCCTCCTGCTCCTGTTTCACAGATTTTGCTTTTATATTCTGAGTGTCTTTACAGAGGTCGGGAAGCTGAAATTTTCTTATCTGGGGCCAGTAACTGTCACTTCCTTAACGGTGGTGGTTCTGATAGTTCGCACATTTGTGGCGATCCCAAACAGCAGTGCAATTATGAAGGCGTAAATGCGACCAAAGACCACCCTCAGGTATGTCGCTGGAAGTTCGCTTTGTGTGATGGAACACATTCTTTTCGGAGGGGGCCCGCTGTCGACACTGCCCCCAGTGCCACTTCTCAGGCACCGCGGAGGATCCCAGCCGACATGGCAATGGCAGTTCCTTCTGTTGTTGCAGACCCCTTGTGACTGCACTTCTCAGGGCGACAGTCGTAGCCCAGGGAAGCGATAGTGGTGTTGCACCGGCTTTGATTACAGAGGTTTCCACGAACACAGGGAGTGCCGTCGATCACACGTCCAACATCGGTTGTGCCCAATCCACGGTGTTCATCCAGCCCAAAACACTGAGCCGGGCCTATCATGGAGTGATGGAATGAAGCGTGTTCCTGCAGCCGGGGCAGATGCGTGACGTTGGTGCACTGCAGTCTCCCACAAAACTTGTCTATTTTTACACAAGGCTGGTAAGCGTAAGAATCATATAGTCGAGTACAATGTCCAAATCGGTAACTTTTGAGGTTGATATTATAGCAGTCGTCAGGAGCATTCTCAGCACTGACACCAAAGATCGCCTTGCAGAGCAAATTGCGGTCAGTGCAGTTCCCGTGATAGCAGTAGCCTTCTTCAGTGCACGGGTTTCCGTCCTGCATATAAACGTTCAGGGGGCATATCCAGGTGGTCCCACGACAGTACTCTGGAAGGTCACATATGTTTTGGATAAGTCTGCAGAGAGTCCCTGGCGGGGAGAAGCTGCAGTTTGTACAGCAGTCTCCTATATGACAAATGCTCCCCGGTGTGAAACGACAGCCACTTATACAACACGGACTGGCGTAACACTGTTTAAAGGAGCCACAGTCACATTGCTCGTTCTCTTCCACTATCAGGTTTCCACAGCGAACTGTTTTCAAGACTTTATTATGCACAGGGGACGGTGTAATGAAGATACAGTGGGATACAGTGGAAAAACAGCTTTGTGCATGTCCATAGGTGCAGTTACTGAACGCATCTGTCATCCCTGGTTATCGCTGCATAATGCAGGAGGTCCTCCTCTGACATGTACAGTATGATCCATCATATTCCACACCAATACTTCTCATCAGTGACTGCATTATTATCAATTATCACGGCTATCAACAAATAATGTCTGCTTAGAATACCGATGTGTATCAGGCCGTGAGATTTACACATTTTATACGTTGGAACTGCATAGTTAGATTCATGTGGTCCATCTTGAATAAGTAGTGTGGATACATGAACTTGAAAAGGAGTAAAAAAGTTTGTTCTATAATAAGTAATAATTGCACTGTTTGTTCTATAATCATTCACAGGGACTGGGTCCCGATCATTATATATGGTCAACAGATAAATACAGTACCGCAGATCAATATTTTGAGCAATGCTGTCAACGAGACTGAACATCCGGACCACCTCTTTGGAACAAGCTGTAATATTGTTATATACTCTATAGTATGAATTGGAACATTGAATATGACCTTTTATATTGCCTGGATGAGAACTATACAGGACATTAGATAACCTGGGATTCATGCTGTCATTTGCTTCAGAGAGCCAGGGGTCTGTCTGTTCATTTTCACCATCTCTAAATGTGGGCCCCGTGGCGTTGGGCTCGGCCACTATCTGAGAAACAACGTGTTCAAACCTGGGGGAATCCTGCAGGGGTTTGATTTCGTAGGCAAGGTCGTCCAGCTTCAGGATGCCGCTGAGGCCGCCATAGCACGTGTCGACGGTGACCATGGACAGAGGCACCTCCTCCAGGTAGCCGAGGTAGTAGCAGTCTGCAGGGATGTAGGGGTAATCCATCTGCAAGGCGCCTTGGTCATCCTGCGTGGTCACCAGCACATGTCTGGGCCAGAGAAGTCGTTTTCTGCGCATGTGGAGGACGTGTCTTTTACCCCCAAAACGCAGGCTGTAGGACAGCCAGCCGGGAAACTGAAGGCCTTTGCCGCGGTGCGTCTCCCTCCTGGGGATCACCACCTCGGAGGACGCGTAGTGCCACAAGGGTCGGCCTTGAGAACAGCGGACCGGAGCCAGGGGTGCCCAGAGCCCCAGTAGCACGAGGGTGGCCCTGAGGGCGACCCGCACCTCTGCCGGCCTCATGTCCCAGCCCAGGGATGTTCATCCAGAGAATGGGAAATAACTGTCCTCACGGAAGCCAGGCCCCAACCATCTGTGGTGGCCACTTCCCCCCCAGGGAGACCCTGACAGAGAACAAAGGCCCTGCCTGGGCTCCCACATAACACCCCTGGGGCCCCTGGACTCCCCTAGGGGATGAAGTAACAGTCTCAGCTTGGGACAGTGTGCGGGTCTGCACAGGATGGTTGTGGGATGAGGTCATGGCTGTGAGGGCTCACTGGAAGGGAAGGGGCCAGGGCAGCAGGGCTGTGTCTTTCTCACCATGCCAATCTGTTCTGCCGCCTTCTCAATCTACAAAACACAGTGGGAGTGTTCAGTGACCTTGCCTGTGGCTCCCATCACCCGTGTTACTCTCAGTCCCTCTGTGGGTGAATATTCCTGCTTCCTGTGACTCACAGCGCTTACTTCTGTGTCACGTGGAGGTAGACACTGCCCATGTTTCCCGGGAGGGCTGAATGTTGTTCTAGTCTTAATAGGTGCCCATCTCTTGTTCTTTTGGCTGTTTCGTTTTGTTTGGGCTTTGAAGTTCTGTTTGGGGTCATCAGCTGGTGAAAAGAAAATACCTTGGGCACCTTCAAGTTGGAGACACTCAGGGGAAATCTGCCTCCCACTCTGTTCGAAGGAGCCCCTCTTCTGTGGAGACAGACGCATATTGCCTCCTTTGGAAACACTTATCAGAAACTCAGAAGAGCACAACCCTCTGTCTGTCACCTACCTGTGACCTGGAAGCCCCCAGTGGGGAGGCCTTGCCTTGAGTTGTCTCAGCCTTTCTGGGTGGAGCAAATGTACTTCTTCCGTGTATTCACTGACATCTCATGTTTCCTTGAAATGCGTAAAACCAGGCCATGCCCAACCTCCTTGGGCACGTGTCATCAGGACTTCCCAGACCAGCCCCAAATGTGTGTCATTTACACATCCACAGTTCATTCATCTGATCATAACAGTCCCCAGACTCTTAACTCATTTCATCAGCAACTCTAAATTCTCGAGGGTAAAACGTAATTTAAATATCAACTAAAGCATATATGGGTAAGATTGGAGGTACCATTATTTCTGAAACAAGTTTCTCTCCAGCTCTGAGCCTGTAAAACCAGATATCTAATTTTACTGGGGCTACCTTTGTTTTTTGAGACAGAGTCTTGCTCAGTCGCCAGGCGCCAGGCTGGAGTGCAGTGGCGCAATCTCAGCTCACTGCAACCTCTGCCTCCCGGGTTCAAGCAATTCTCCGGCTTCAGCCTCCTGAGTAGCTGGGACTACAGGCGTCTGCCACCGCGCCCAGGTAATTTTTGTATTTTTAGTGGAGACAGGGTGTCACCATGTTGGCCAGGATGGTCTGCATCTCTTGACCTGGTGATCTGCCTGCCTTGGTCTCCCAAAGTGCTGGGATTACAGGGGAGAGCCACCGTGTTCTGCCTTGGGGCTGTCTTGACAAAGTGTCATAAAATGCATGACTTTAACAAGGTGTATTTATTACTTGCAGTGCCGAAGGCCAGGAAGCCCAAGACTGCGATCAGGTGTCTGTAAGGGCTTCCTTCCTGGTTTGCAGATGTCCTAATTTTATTGTATCATCTCATGACAGAGAAGCAAGAGAGAAAAGCTCTCTCATGTATTTTTATTAGAGCGCTAACTTCATTTATGATGGCTTCACCTTTTTCACCTAATCACCCCTCAAATGGCCCACACCCCAATTATATCACATTGGTGATTAGGATTCCATGATATTAATTCTGAGATTACATACACATTCAGTCCATAGCACTGGACACGTTATTTTATTTCAAATACAGTGGTGAGTTAGGCATAGAATATATTTTTTTGTCCCCACAGAAAAAAATTGGAAAGAAAAGAGGGGTGATGTGTCCCCAGCAAGTACGACACATCATCAAACAAATTGCCATAAGCCTTATGGCTCAGGTGGCATCTTCTCTGGGACAAGCTTCTTCCTTCCTAGCTCATTGCAGCAGCAGAATTAACTCCGAGGCTTTAGGCAGAGGCACAAAGCCTGGGTAGCTGCTGGGTTAAGGTCCCGTCCCAAAGACCCCATGCAGCCCTACACAGGAGGCTCGCTGGGAGTTCCTAAGTTCCAGGCTCTGGTAGGACGTCTTTCCTCAAGGTTTTTTAGCACAGGTTGTCTGGTCTGTTCAAATCAAGGTAGTGGTCTGATTACTTCTAAATAAGTTCAAAGTTTTTTTTTTTCTTCTGGAGGAATGGTGCACATTTGCAACCTGGTAGCTGCATCCTCTTAAATCCGAAGACTCTGACAGCATTAATCCATTTTGTCTCATCTCCATCCTCATTCTTTAAAACCTGCAGCATTTATTCTCCTATAATACCATAAATTCTTCATCAAGTGACATTACAGCCCCATACTCACTGTTCTCTTCAGAACACACTTCCTGGTTTTCCAAAACGGATAGGTTGAGAATTTTCCAAGCCTTTAAGTTTTGGATACTTTTTCCTGATAGTTTCATCTTCAATTCATCTCTCTCTTATTATAGGTGCTCAGGAGAAAGCAAACCACACTTTTTTTTTGGAAAACTTTACTTAGAAGTGTTCTCAGCTAAATATTCAATTTCGCTGCACACAAGTTCTCTTTCACTAAATATTACAACACAGTCTAGACAAGTTCTTTTGCCGCTTTACAAAAACATCACTATTTATCCAGTTTCCAATAGCACTCCACTCATTTCAGTCTATCAGAATGACCCTTAATATGCACATTTCTTTACCCATGTCAAAACTATCCAGCCTTTTACACATAACTCAATTCCAAGGTACTTTCACAGTGTTGAAGTAACTGTAACATCAGAACCCCACGTCTTCACCTCAAATTCTGTTTAGTCAGTTCAAGCTGAGATTAAAAATGATCATACTTGGTCACTTAGGCAACCTTAATTTGATCTCAGTTCCTCAGTTCTGGAAATTCCAAGATCAAGATGCTGGCGAGGCAGATTTTACGTTGAGGCTTCTACTGTTGGCTCAAAGCTGTCACCACTTTGCTATTTGGTCACATGGTATCTTCACACGCTGCGTGTGTGAGTGTAAAGAGAGAGAAGGGTGAGGTGAGAGAGTGAGAGGGAAATTCTCTGGTGTCTTTACAGTAGTTCCATTTGAATGATTCCGCACCCCTAATTTGCTGCACAACTAAATAGTTTCTCGGTTAGTCCATTGAATTGTGAAGAAATACCTGAGGCTGGGTAATTTGCGAAGGACTTCGGTTTTAAGTGGCTCACGGCTGTGAAGGCTGTACAGCAAGTGTGGGGCCAGCATCTGTTTTTGGTGAGGGCTTCAGAAAGCTCTCAGTCATTGATGCTACCACCGACAAGCGCCACTCAGGGAAACAGGTCAGTGGCACCTCCCAACAGCACCCCAGGCAGCACCGGCACAAACCCGCATCCAGAACCCACTCCAGGAGCACAGACACCCCAATAACCCCACCCCCCACCCTGGTGACTCCCCACTGGAATCAGCCCCGGAGTCCACCAGGACCCAAGACTTGCCCCTGTCCCTGTCCCTCACTCAGGACCTGCTGCAAGGGACCGTTTGTGGGGGATACCAAGGTGGGCCCCGATGTGCACCAGCAACAGACCTTTCCTGCCTGCCCTGTGGCAGCACAGACTTTGGGGTCTGGGCAGGGAGGAACTTCTGGCAGGTGGCCACGCACAGAGCCCCCAGGCGGAGGTGGCCCCAGGAAGGCCGCCAGGAGGTGGACCACGGCTCTTCCTCCCAGCTGGACCCCATGTCCACCCCAATATGTGGGCATCATCCAAGACAGGTTCTCCATGGAGCCCCGGTCAGAGTCCTCCCTGGTCCCCTCTGGGCCTCAGTCTAGGCTCAGGGAATGCAGCCACCTCGGGTACACCAGGCAGCACAGACCTGGCTTGGGTCCTGCAGTGCCCAAACCCACTCTGGAGTAGCGCAGGTGCATCGGGGACAGGTTGGGCTCCCCACCCCCACCCTGCACCTGCACATACGCACCCGCCCCTGCCCGGCCCCTCTGAGGAGGGTCAGAGCCCCCCGTGTGGTATGGACATACAGTCTCACTCACCAGCCTCCCCTCCTGGGAGAAGGGGCCTCATACCCAGATCCCCGCAGCAGCTGGTCACAGGTGGAGGCAGTGGCCCCGGCGCCACCCTAACTGGCCCTCAGGCTGGTCCAGCCCGGCTGCCCTGCGTCGCTGGGAGGCCTAAGCTCCACCGGACCACAAGTCTAGAGCAGAGCCCCGGTAGCCGCCCACACCCAGCTCACAGGAAGAGGATAAGCCACAGACCCCCAGGGCTGGGAGCTGCCTTCCTGCCACCCCTTCCTGCCCCAGACCTCTGTGCCCTCCCCCAGCCACTGCCACACGGGCCAGGGAGCTGCTCCCCCACAGTTCAACCAGAACCCAGATGCCTGGCACTCGGGTGGCTGCCCCTTCCTTCTCCATTCGCTCCCAGCTCCTCCGTGCCGCCTCCTTCCTCCCTCCTTCCAGGAACACCCTGTGCAGCCCCTCCCTGAAGCCCACACCTGGGAGACCCCACCCTCCCTTGAGCCCTTTCTCCCCCGCTGCTCTTGCCGCCCACCCAGACAACCTGGGGTCCTGTCCCCGCAGCCCCCACCCTGGTCTCCACCCAGACCCCTGTCCCTCCCTCCAGACACCCCTCCCAGGCCAACCCTGCATCTGCAGACCCTCCCCTCTTGTGCCGCCAGAGCCTCAGTTTCTCCCGCCTGTGCCCACCCCTCCCCTTCCTGCCCACAGCCCAAGCTCTTCTTCTCCTGAGGCCCCTGAGCCATGGCCCTGACTGAGCCCTCCCCACCACTTACTGCCCATGCCCTCACCTTCCTCCTGGCCACGCCGCCCGCTCCCCTCTCAGGCCTGACCCTTGTGTTTCAGAGCAAACTCACCCAAGTCTTTCCCTCCAGGCCCGGGCCCGAGTCCTCACTGCCCATCTATGGGACCAGCCTCCTCTGCACAGAAGCAGGGA